GAGCGTTACCAGCAACTTTGGGAGGAACTGGATTGTAAAGCATCCTATTTTTAAAATACAAACTGCTTAGATTCTCAATGAAGTGCAACATTATAGATAAATGTGAAACTTTCCCTGGCATAAATTTTAATTTCCTAGAGTGCTGGCATATGACAAAGGAGACCTCACTTCTGGAAATGCAATGACACTTAACACTGTCAGGAGGTGGGGAAGGTTAATAAATGTTTTTGGGAATGGAGAATAAATATCTTTGTAAATTAGTAGTAATCGGTTGGGGTATTTCTAGTATAAAAATTATTTGGCCAGGTTTTCATCAGGACTGTGAAATTTCATAAAGTTATTGAATGGAATATTTCACAATAAGGAATTACTCCCTTTGTTGACCAGTGCATTAATATCAAACCATCACAAGGAAGCTGCCCACTGTTGGAACTACTCCCATTATCACTGTAACAATGATGCATAATGCTACTCTCCTTTTATATCAGGATTCAAAACACTGAATAAGCTATGAGAAAAGAATTCAAATTTTTTTTTTTCAGTATAGGAGAAAAGGAGAAGGATACCCAGAGAACATTCTCAGGGAAAGTGATAAGGATGACAGCTATTATTAGAAGTGCAATTGAATTTGCATCAGTATAGGCTGATGCTGGATTTCTTCCTTCCCTGAATCTGACAGAGATACTGTACCAAAGATGCCTGGCAAAGCAATAACAGGATATAACTGGATATAAAACAACTGGATATAAAACTGCTCCAGCCACAGTGGCTTTAACTCTTAGTGGTCTATCCTGGGCATTCATCCTGTTTTCTGAAGTGGAAGATAAGGAAATACTTCAGTAAAATCATCCTGTTCTCAGTACCAGCACTACACAGGCAGAGGGCCTAAAGCCTTTTGGAAAAAATCCCTCTGTCCCCTTCAGAAGGGACAGATGCTGGAAAAGGTGCTCTGGTCTAGGGCGGCTGCTCCTGCTCCCACCTGGAGCAGAGGTGGGCCTCAGATTTGGTTACATTTTCAGACCTCTCCATGGGAGGTTGCTTTGTGCTGGGGGTCTTTTGTGTCTCTGCTTTCTGTCATCTGTTTAATTTTATGATGCTAATATTGGGTAAACTGCAGTGCCTCTCCTCTGTTCAGCTGCCACTTGGAGAACTGGCTCAGAAGTGCCCTGCAGATCTTGACCATCATCCTCCAATCTGGGGACTGAGGCTGAGAATTGAGTACTTGGCTCTCCTTAATTGCTTTGTGACAGTGTGGCAGTTTGAGCCACATTAGAAATCCAAAATTCCAATTTACAGGCTTCCCCCACCCCTTCCCACAATTTATCTCAACACCAGAGAGAAACTTTCAGGCCAGAGGCTTCTATAAGGGGAAGGGGAAGTATATACATTTATTTACACAAATAAATATACTGTACAAACTAAAAGCAACTATACACACACACACACACATATATATATATATATATATATAAAACGTTTCTATCAGTCCTTTAAGCTCCTCCCTTTAACTTTAGTCCAGGAGCAGCCTTTCAAGGCTGATATGTAACGCAGTCTCTGTCTCGTGGGAGTGTTCTGGGCCCCTGAAACACTCCCTAACCAACCGTCAGCTGTTTACTGGAGTTTTTCTTCTCACAAAGTCCAAGAAAGTAGCTTTGAGTCCGTTCTCAGATTGGGGGGCCAGTTTCAAACCATGGCAGACAGCATTGGCTATTCCAAGCCATTCATATCCTCGTGAGGTGGTTCATAAGATGCTGTGGGAATCTCAGGTTCCTTGACCTTGTTTTTCCTTGTGTGCAAAGATGATGTCGGCTGCCTGGTGGTCCCAGATCTTGGTGTAGCTGTGCTGATGGCAAATTGGCAGGGACAGGAAGAAACCAGGGTCTCATTTAACTTCTGTGGTATCGGTGCGGGAACCTTGGGGGTCTGTGTTGACTGGAGTTCCTCACCACAGGGAAGTGGAGTTCCTCACCACATCAAATGGGAATTTTATTTCTCCCCTTTCCCTCTACTCAAGGAGGAAATGGTCATCATTTGGGTACAATTTGTGCTGTGTGACTTCTGCCACTTTTTTCCCTGTGTCGTGTGTGGGTTTGTCTCTTCAGTCGGAACTTGTGGAAGGCTGTTCCCACACATTATGTAAATCTTTCCAAAATTTCAGAGACAATTCTCATTTTCTATCAAGTTTCTTCAAGGATTTATCTGAATTTAGCCTACTATTGTCTTGTTATTGTTCTTTAATAGTAAAAGTAAAAACCTGCTTTTGCTGCTGAAAAAATTACCTGTTGTATATAGAGGCATAAGCAGATACCTCAAGACAGGGAATAAATGCTGCAATTTTTTTGATCTTTCCTGCATTTATGTTTGCTGAAATACAAACATTTTTTAAGTAGGTACATGCACCCATCCCCAGACAATGAATTTACTTAACGATTTTGTTGCTGAAATATCTCAAGTTTACAGCGTGAGGTAATTATGTTTGAGTCTCTAGGGGAAATGGATTTATAGAAATGTGGGAAAGAGAAAGTTAATTTGGTTATAAGGCAGAAGATCAAAAGGCTTTTATTAAGAGCAAAGTCTGCTTGGAGTAGAAAACTGGGAGAAACAGAAATATTAGACCAAAAGAAAAAAATTTGAAAATGCCTATGAATAATATAGTTTTAATTACTGTTTTCTAAAATTCCCTGAAATGTTCTTGCAAGTTTTAAAGGTCCATGTGAAGAAGGTTGTTGTAATGCATTGAGTTACTCCTGGTTTTCTTTTTCCATTGCTAAAATCTATAGGCACGGGCAGGACTCTGTCAGTGGGAATAACAAGAAGGCAAGAGGTTCAAGTAGTTTTGCATCCTAAAACTGAGGAGATGCATTGTCCAGCCTGCATTCTGGTGTCATGTGAGATTACCCTGCTCCTCAACCATTCCACATAGATGGTTGTCTTCTCCAGTTTAGAAATCTAATTGAAGCCATTATTTCATTACCTTCAAGTAACCTTTTCCCGAGCATGTCAATGGATGCAAAGGGGTTCCCATTACACAGCACACGCTGTCTTCACTGTAGGGGCACATCTGTCATTTTTCTGACCTTCTCTGAATTAAAAACTTGCAAGCATTTAGATACTCTCTTTCTCCCTCATATCTTACACACTGAATCTGTGTCATTGTCTCATGTTCCGTTGTTGGCGGTAACAAAGTTGCCATGGGAATATTGACTGGAAAAATTTAGCACTTCCCTTTGCTGATAGAAATATCTGGATGTTAACATTTCTGTCCTTATCTTATGCTATGAAATTTAAATGTCTGCAGTAATTAATTCAATTTATCAGTTAAAAAATGTGATAGCTGCTGTTACAGCTCAGTGTTGCTTTCTCTGGCTAGAAAATGCTTCAGAGAAGTTAATAATTAAGCATTTTAAAGTCTGATCACTTAACACTGGTTAAATATGGCACCAGTGGAGAAAATTTTGGTACATGCATCTTTGAGGAAAGCATTAAGGTTTTTCTCCACGTCATCTGAAGTCTGACTGTGGTTTTACATCTACAGCGACTCTATTTTCACTGTAAATTGCTTTCCTCAAAATGCTCCCATGTCTTTTCAATTTTTTACATTGTACCAGTCCTTGTTTTCTTCCTGGATTTAATGACAAGCCTCATTTATAGAAGACAGTAATAAAATGGCAGCATCTGTCTTCTCCCAGGCTCGTGGGGCATTTGTGCTGGCAGCACTCGAGTCGCCTCGGAGCAGTCGCTCGCTTGGGCTATTGAAGCCTGCCCAGACCACCCTGGCAATCTGCACTCTTCATTTCCAGTGTCACATTCATTAGAGGTCTTTAAAATGGGTAGTAGGAAAAGGGGAATTAATAACTTTGAAGATGAAGGAGGGAAAAAAAACCCAACAAACCTTGGACCTTAAAAAAGAACAATGATAAACCGTGCCGTTGTCTGTTATATGAAGAATTCTTGAGAGAGGGCTAGAAAAAAGGGCAGTGTTTAATTCTTGAATCTCTTTGAAATCAGACCTGTTTGAAAACACCGCCTCTTTTGAGGAATGGGTGAAACCCAGGGGAATAATCAGGGAACAGAGACATTTTATTCTCTTGTACCCTTTCTTAGATCTGTGCTGGCATCTGTGATAAAGAACTATTTTGTTTTCTGATCCCCAAACTTCACTGAAAAAAAAAATTACAAAATTAATGATTTGTTTAAAAAAAGCTGTCTATATTAAAAAAAAAAACAAACAACCCAAAACCAACTGTGGAGCAAAATGCTCCCAACTGTGGAGCATTTTTCCTGCTGATGGCTAAAGAAATCTTTCAGAAACCTCTGGGAGTAGTTTGCCACTTCAGTCCACAAATACAATTTCTTTCCACTTACATGGCTTGCTCTGAAGGCTTGGGCTACAGGATCTCACCTGGAAAACCTCCGTGGTGTGGACTGTCACTCGGCTGTGACCAGTACTGAGGCTAAATTGCTTCAATTAAAGGCTACTCCAGAGTAAGCTGCCATTAGTATCCGTTACTGCAAGATTAAAGTTCGTTTATTAGGTTGTTATTGATGGAATTAAGCCGACTGATTGGGAGCAATTCAGAACTGAAATAACTGTCATGCGAAGGATGAAACCATTTACTGGTAATATCGGGAAACTTATGGATTGAAATAATAAGATAATGCCAATTTAACTAAAAGTGGACAGCAAAGATCTATTGCAAAGCTCAAACTTTCAATCTGACGTGGTCTCACGGCCCCTGTGGATGGACAGCTGTTCTGTGTAAGGCCATGGAAGGCTCCAAAATCTTACCAGCTCTACTGATGCGTTGGGGATCGTTTTGGGATCAGCTATGACATGCACTTTTTGAGCCAGTTCCTTTGCACCACAATCTCTTTGTTTGTCGTGGTGGAGGACGACGTGGAGCGAAGTGCTGAAGCAAATGCCAAACTTCAGCCCATATGTGCCAGCTGGAACCCTGAACTGGCTCAGTGGTGCTGCAGGAGGTGCTTTTCCTCGGATGAAAGATGTCATAGGACAGAAAGGAGATGTCAGGAGAATGAGATCTGGGCTTGGTGCCAGCACCACCCAAGCCAGAAGAACAACTTTATTTGGCCTGTTGTCCGGTCTGCTCTCTGTTCCTGCTTCTCACTGTGCCATCTGAGGAGACGGAAAAGTTGACATCAGCCTATCTTTTTTTCTTTAATTCTTCTTCCTTATTCTTCAGAGAGGCCTCTCATGGTCTACCTGCAGGTGATCAATAATCAGAATGACATATCCCACACATTTTATAAGCCATCCAGCTGTGTTTCCAGGAGGGAGGAAGGTGAGGCTGGGGTGGGGGATGAAGATGACTGTGTTGCACAAAGGGCTATTTTCTGCCTGAGAAAAATCCTGGGCAAAACCGGGATGTTTGTTTCCTCTGTGATGCAGGAATGCTGTGTGCTTACAAAGGTTTCTGAAAAGCCTTTGCTGGTTCTGACTGCACTGCGCTGGCTTTGGTAAGCGGGCCTCCTGGTATGCTTTAAAAAGATAAACTGAAAAAAAAAAACCCACCCCAAGAAGTATACTTTCTTTTTAACGTTCACGGTGATTAATGTGAGTGGCTTTTCACAATCCGTTTCCAATTAATTTTAGTGAAGGGAGCTCTGCTGGCCCTATATATGAACTAAACTTCATATTAAAAGATTATTGAAGGGATTGCAGGCTAAGGATTGAACCACAGGGCTTAAGTTCCAAACTAGCCATCATGTGAGTCACCAAAACCCACAGTTCTCCCTCAGTATGAGTCATCCTAATGACACAGTTGGAGCCAGTGGAGCTCAGAGCCTAATCTCCTCTGCCACCAGCCTCAGCCCTGCCTGGAAGAAGACAAGGAGAGGTCACAGCATGTAACAGGCTTTCAGCTCCCAGGTGATGTAGCTGGAAGGGAAATAAATGGGTATTGCAATGCTTTCCATTTCAAGCTGGGTGAACAGCAGTCGTGCTGAAACCCACTCTGATCCCCTCAAATCAGAGGCACCTCTTGTCTTTTTGAGAGAGAAAGAAGAAATCTTTTGCTCTTCCCTTTCTTCAAGCTCCTTTGAATACCTACAGTGCAACTTTATCTCATCCTTAGTAGGGAAAATAAAAGTGTTAGTGCTTATGAGAATGCTGTTATTTGCTGTCCTTGCTGTTGCAGATTTATTATTATTTTCCCCTCTTCCCGGAGCTATAATGTCCTCTACAAATACACTTGATGTTGAAGAGCAAGAAAACACCTTTTTGAATTGCATTTTGATAATTATATCATAGTAAACCCCATGTATGCTGGGATTTGAAAGAACAGGAGTTGACAGACAAGCCTTTGTAAGCTTAACTGAGAAGCAGAAAAAGAAGGGATGCATTAATCAACACTGTCTCCTGTAGTTCTGTTCTGCTAATGGCCAAGATATGCTATAACTCTAAAAGAGCTGATTCATTCTTCCCCTTTTATTCTTGGGATGTGCTAAGAACTGCAGAATGTGATGCCAAGTGCTGGCTGCTGCCTGTCCTGGAGTTGGAGTGGCTGTGAGGAGCTGTTGGGATGGTGCTGACTTTAATCCAGAAAGCAGTGGCAGAATGGGAAAAACATAAAATTTTGGCTTCTGAGGGTGTGAGTGGGCATATGTGGTAGATGAAACCCTTGGGATGGAGAGGATTTGATCTGAGAAGGGATTTCGGTTGGTTGGTTGGTTGTTTTTTTTTCTTTAACCTGAGCGTAGCTTCATTTATGACTCTCAGTCACTTAGTCTGTTCCCCCAGCACCTTACCCCTGGTAAATGGTGATGGATACTCCTTCAATCCTACATTACCCATATCACATTTGAGAGTCTCTTATGCAGAGAGATGACAATAGGGTAAAAAAGTGGGAAAACACTGTTAGCGGTGTACAAGCTGTAGTTGTCTGAGGAAAAACAGATGCTGTTGTTATTTGTTCCGAAGCAGCTGGTACCACTTTATTTTCATGATTTGTGAGAGACAGGAGGAGAACACGTTGTACTTTCATGGCCCTCTGACACAGCTCAATGGGAGAGAAAGCACACTTGCATCTGCTGGCTGTAGAGGTTTACAGATGATTTGTTATGATCCATTCACTGAGCAGAAGGAAAAATTGTTACATTCAACACAAAATATACTATATGTGCTTTTCATGCATATAAAATGAAGGAAGATCACTGCTGAAAAGCCCTATATTTTCTATTTGGGTTGAATCTTGAAGTGCTTTGCAGTGGGGCAGCCTCTCAAGCTGTATCAGGTATTAACAGTTACCTGCTACAGAAGTGTGCATCTGCATTACTTGAAGTTTTCTTTAGGCAAGCAAAGAGTAAAAAAAGTAAAGGGATACTTCCTGTATAATGTAGGGAATCTATGAAAGCAGTAAAAATAAGATCCCACAGAGGGTGGGTACCAGCAGGTCTTGGATGTTGAAGAAAACTCTCTCCTGAGAATTTCTCTCTCTTCCCAGATAACGCTGTGGGTGAATCTTTCTTTGTAAAGCATGTAAATTTGGACTTTTATAGTGAGAAAAAAGGGAATAGGAAGAGGAAATTGTTGTAACTTCTGATGTTAGAGATTGTACAGTCGAAGAGATCACTTTATAAGCCTTGCTTTGTAGGTTATTACTGAATATTATTCTATTGGAAGTCAAAGAGAGGATGTCTGTATTAGGCCTGATCAGATGAAGAAAATACAGATACAGACAAAGAGTAACTACACCGAAATACATAATCCTGTGAGGAGAAGAGCTGGGTTCACAGAGATTTGCCTTTCTGTCAGTCAGGTAAGAGCTCAGCTGCTCTGTGGGCCCGGGGCATTATGAGCTGAAGGGTTTCACCATGAGTTGAAGAGTTTAGTGTCAACCTGGCAGTCTTGACTCTGTGTTGTCAGGAGAGACAAAAACTGCACATGCTGATCCAATTCACCAATTGGTCCTGAGAATTCTACACAGGGATTCCTGTGCATGGACCTGTAGAACAGCTTTCCATGTGCCAAACCTCTGGCATGTTCTGTCAGCCTTTCTCGGTTTTCCCTGCTCAAGGGAAGGGCTGCAGGTGTGTCAGCAAAAGAGCTCCATGTTTCACTAGGTTATTTTACATTGAAAGGAGGAGAAAGATTTGAGTTTTGGGTTTCCAAGTCGTGGTTGCTTGGAGTGCTTCTGCAGCTCCTTTATGTGGCACTAATTGTCACAAAAAAACCCCGTGTCATCTGCCTCCATACCCTGTTTGTAACTTTGGATTATTCATTCCGGATGCGTATGAACTTTTCTGTGAAATTACTGGAAAAGAATGAAGGCAGATTTGAGAATGAATTGCCTGGAAAAATTGTATGTGTGGCTTTGGCTTTTACAGCTGCTGTTTTTTAAAGTGTTCACCTGGATATGCAGCAGAAAAAAAAAAAAAGGCGTTTTACACCCCCTGCCTCCTTGTTTCTCATCCTTTTCATCAGATAGAATTTCTCCACTCTAGCAGTAGACAGTAGTTCCTCTACTGCAGTAATTTCATCCAGAGAGTATAAAATTGGGGCAGAGATGCACATTTGCCCCTTTGGCTTATCTCTGTTTTCCCCCTCTTGCATATAAGCATCATGATGCAGACTTAGTGTGCACAAGTTGAAATCTCTTTTGCACTGTGTGGGCCAGCAAGGTATGAAAATACACATGCTGTGAGACTGGGAAATAGATTTGCATTTTAGAAGGAGCAGAGAAGGGAATTACGTTAACAGGATATAATGGAAAAGGGGGGGGAAATTGTCTCTTTGGGCATTATTGTTGTGTGACTTTTTAGGTGCCTGGCAGATTGTTTTTAATTTTTAGCTTTCTTTATATGTTGTTATATATTGTTACCCCAATAGCACCGTGTATATCACAAATGTGGTGCAATGTTGGAACGTGTTTGCTTGTAAATGTATCTATAACTCTAATTGCAATGACAATTATTGCAATAAGGCTGAGAGCTGTGAATGAAGTGTCATGTTTAGTCCATTCTCCGTTAAGTCTGGCTACTTACTGTTAGCAAACTTTCTGTCCTTGAACATCAGGAGATGACCTCGGAGGGGTTTTGTTTGTTTGTAAGTACTCTGCAGGAGAGCAGTGTAAGTTATCACTGTTTAGTCAAAACTAAGAATGAACCACAGCAGAATGCAGAGGATACCTTAATCTTCACCGGTAAAGTTGTTTTGCTGCTTCTAAGTACTGACTTGCCAGCTGGTGTAATTTTAAATGGAAAACAGCCTTATGATGGTGAAGAAGGTTCTTTATTAAAATAACAAGGGCAGTGGTAGCTAGAAGCAGCTTATTCAGAGGCTGTAAAAGACCAGGGCCATTTAGCAGTAGGCGAAAGGTAGCCCTGAGCAAGATGAGAACAATGAACTGTCAAGAAGTGGTTGTCAGGAAAGTGAACAGTGAATTTCACCCATTAAATTTCCTTTCAGATGTGTTTGCAACCTATTTGCCTTTCCCTTTCCCTTTCATTTGATTTCAATAGTGTATGAAGAAGACTTCTGTCACTCAGAGCTATTGTTCCAGAACGTTGTAGGGTTTAAGTTGATACAGCATTAACTTATGTCATTAAGGCTGTACCAGCACTCCCAGTCTGGCACTATCTGCCATTAAAAACACATTTTGTCAACAGTAACTGCTTTTCTTTAAGAGTGTGGTTCCTGAGTACATTCTCCTGCTCTTTGGCAAGGCGACCTAAGCTGTATTGTAGTCCCGATGATACTGCTGTTTGACTCATTCTGTCAGCTGAATTCAAAGATTTATTTTCTAGGCAGTGTCCCAGCTTGCATGATTCTGTTTTACTCCTACTTGTGAAAATCAATCATGGGGAACATCGCAGAGGAAATTACCAGCATGAGCAGAGAGTTCCTTGAGCAGCAGCTTATCCCCGTGCCAATCAAAAGGGCTTTGCTCTTTTCCTGCCTGTGTTTGCAGGAGTCCAAGAATGATTTTGGATCTGTTGTGTGGTACAAAACAAGAGCTTGTCTATAAGAGTGAATGACTATGCTTTCTTGTACACCCCAGATTTTCTTGTCTGTAACTTATTTGTATGACAATCATAATACAATCCTTTATAAAATTATGCATTGCAATTTGATGATACATTATAGAAGTATTGACATTTTATGCGTTCCCTGGAGGTGGAAGTTTTGCAGTAGATATAGATATCTATATATCTGTCGTGTATGAATAAAATACATGTGTGCATCTATATGTTTCTCAGCTGAATAATGGAGGCTCCCTTCTTGTGCAAAGCTGCTGTAGTCCTGGTTAACACCAAGAGCAGGAGGAGGAGGCAACAAACATGTTGCAGTGTGCTTGAGAGGCTTTCTGTAGCTTTGTAGGATGCCAGCACAGACCAGAAGAAATAATATGTCATTGTGTGTGGCCTACAAGAATATCTGAACTGGAAGGAGATTGAATAGCAGGGGTGGTGCTTTCAAGCTTGTCAACTGCTTGAATGGAGCTTTTCACGTCTAAGCTCTCTTGTTAGGGAGATGTGAGGCTGCTGGGATGCTCTGTTCCAGAGCCACGGGTCGATCCTTGTTGTAAGTGCTTGGAGGAATGCTGGAGTAATTAAGCTGAAACCTTTAGTGAAGTTTGCAGCTGCTGTGTTGTGGTTGGCAGAGAGCTCATTGCTGAAAATACAGCGGAGGGAGTTGTTTTTGTTGTTGTGGGCAGCAGGCACGACTGAATCCCTAAATAACTGATGCCTGTGCTTAGCTGTCTGCCCACTACAGCGTATTTCCTAATCTTTGCTGGTTCGTTTTTCTTGCCCAACAGTGACACTGCTTGCTTGCTATTTAAATACTGTTATTGGTCAATGGCTGGTACTGACTGCAGTTTAAACAAAAATAAATGCTAAGTCGTCTGATTTAATTGCTTTCTGATGTACCACACTCTGTCAATGAAGCAGGTAGCCTTGTTCTTAGACAACCTCTGATTTAATCTTGATTTTAAAGCAGTCAGCGAAGCCATTCAGCTCTCCAGTTTCTGATTCTGTTTATTATCAATAGATTCGCATTTATATATCTTGGTTTCAGCAAACTCCTTTTTGAGGTTTTAAGGCTTACTTACCTCGATTGGCATAGACTGGTGCTCCCACTGACTTCATTAGGGCCACTCAGCGGGGTGCATTTAAAGGATGTGAGTGTCCTCAACATCTTTATGGATCACTAAATTGCAGTGGAGGTGAAGGCAGAACCAGCAACAGCAAAACTGTTTCTAGTGAAATATGCAATGTTTTGTGGAGCTTTAAAAGAAACGGGAGAAAACTGGTTTCTGTTAGACCTTATAGGATAGAACCACCCAAACCAACAAACTACTCACGTCTGGGAACTGCATCAAAATTTTGGTGAAATTAAATTGGCAGAGGGAAAGTCAAGGCTGTAGCCAAAGCATTATATGTTTACCCAGTTCCAGTCTTTTTTTGCCAAGTTGCACCTTATGCTTTGGGTGGTGATAGAGGATACTGATGGACATCACTAAATGCTGCATATTGCTTACATCAGGTTTTAAATATTATTTAAAGAACCTCACACAATACGTGGCTACTGAATGGAAGATGATTGTTCACTGATAGGATTTGAAAATGGATTTTGAATCCATAATAAAAATAAACATATATGCTTTTTATGCTTTGTTTTCTATGCTGGTTGAGAGGAAATGGTCCTGCAAAGCTGTGCAAGGACCTCAATATATAACTTAGGGGTTAAATAACTTTCTTATTGTTAATCTAACTTTTGTTTGAACCTAAGAACTTTCACCTGCCCACTCCTAGGGGGAATGAAATATATTTACCATAACTGAACTGTAGCTTAATTTCTTTAGGTACACAGTAAGCCAATGATCTCTGGAGAATGTGCTTCTGTTCTAAGAGGCTTATGAACAGAGGAGAGCATTAAATAATTACACAACTTCTAGATATTTATGACTGCAATGAGATCACCTGACATTAAAGGCTTTTTTTTTTTGTTAATCTGAAATTGAATTAATTCAGGGTCTTTAGTGGTTCTTGGTGTTTAAAGTATTCCATGGTTTTAAAAAATATCTATTATCTCTTCTCACCTTGTAGCAAAAAAGACTTATACAGTGCTCTACCAAGTAAAAGCTATTAGTGAAGCACCTAAAGGCATTGATCATACAACAATTATGTTTCTAGAAATGCGTGAATTTGAGGTATGAGTTTGATTTCTGTTGGTATTTTTACTAACTTACAGCCAGACTCAACAGCTGTTTTCGAAGGGGCTGCTCTCAAGGTACGAGATTCAGCAATGTTAAATGGACACGATAAAAAAGTTTAAAGGCAGGAAAACCAGAACCACTGCTGGTCAAGAGCTGGTGTTATATCTGACTGGAATTCAGATGCATTTTTGATTGTTTAAGTGGCCCTTTGCTCTCACTTTTTGTTTAGCTTACGGAGCTCTTGCATATTCTTTGGGGGGGCTCAGTCCAGGTGGCATTTCCCAGCTGTGTCCATGCTTGGTCCCCTGGAGCATGTAGAGTGTAACCATGTGCTGGGTGTGTTGTCACAACTGATGTCACTAAAGCACATGCCAGTAGCTGTTCCTGAATGTTCTCCATGTGCAGCCCCAACCCCTTTGGCTCTGTCCTGCCCTGGCCATGCTTGCAGGCAGCAGTTGCACAGGTCCCTTCATCAGCAGAATGGCTTCAGTACATCCATAACCTGTGGAGAGAGAATATACCATCAAAAAGGAGGGAGAAAAGAACAGCAAATGCATCTTTGCATCCCTGCCTCATTTTCCACAGGGTCAGAAAGCAGAATTTTGCTTTCTGTGCTTCCACCCTAAATTGTGGATTGTGGCTGCAGCTTCACCCTGTGAAGCATCACAGCTCAGCAATGGTCTCTTAGTGGACACCATGGATGTGATTGCCTAGACCTGCTAGGATTTTGCATACCAGCTTTGTTTTTATTGTACCTACATCAGCATAAATTACTCTCCTCTGCATGTAAATATGCATCTGCCTCTCCCTGATGTTGTTACTGATGGTCCTGATGATCACTGTTTTTCACATGTTTATATGTAAGAAGGCAGCCAAGAGCTTTGGTGCACTGAGATATCGTGTACCTGCTGTCAGGCTGTGGCAGCCACACAAGAGCCTGTTGGGACCTGAGGGCAGCCCAGGTATCTGCATACAGCTTTTCAGCTGGACCTTGAGGAGCAGTACAGACTTCCTTGGTTGTAGGATGGAGATGCTTGTGGTGTTCACTTGCTGGAACTTGTGCCACTGTCCCAGCGTGACTTCTCTCAGGGATCTTGCTTCTCTCAAGGGCTGGAAGCACAAGCATCTCCTGCAGGCTTCCCAGTTGGTTTTCCTGACCTCAGGCAACTCTTCACCTGTGAAAGGGGGAAAAGGGCTCATGATATATCCCGTATGTATAATAATCTGCCTCCTCATGACATCAGTCCTGTGACATTACACCTTGATGTGATGCCATAGGGTGCCTATGTTCTCACCTCATCAGAGGATCCTTTTGAGCCTGTGGTCTGGCAGAGGCTTTATCAGTGCAGACAGAGAGATGCAGGTGTTGAGGACAGGAGCTGGAGTACTTGGAGTGGAGGGTGCTTGAGCTCAGCCAGCCATACCTGTGGGGTTTTTCGGCCTTGTGCTTTGTCACGTGAAGGTGATGGGAGTCACATCATCCTACTGGAGCTCTGTGCAGAGCATGTTTGCTCTGAGTGCTGCTAGAGGGGTTGTAAAGAGTGGGGACACCACCTTGTATGTGTCAACATGTCCTGCAGAGAAATGTAGGGTCAAGACAGTGCCGTCCTATTCTACAGCCCAGAATTTCCCCTGCTGTGTAGGACTGAGCTCCAGGGACCTCTTCCCGAGGCGTCAGATGTGTGGTCTGGTCGTGTCAACACGACACAGACAAGCAGAAACCGGGCTTGCTGCTCATTAAGCATCTTCATTAGCACATGTCTAAGTAGTGATAAAATCCAAGTGCTCTGTATGTCAAAATAAGAACTGTATTTCAATTCTGGTCATCTTAAAAGCCAAATAATTAAGGTGATGAAGAAGGTTGCTTTTACTGTCTGCTCAGACAAAGGAAAAGGAGGAAACAAGATATATACTGTACCCCAAAAGAAAGGAAGACTAGATATAAAGTTGGCTAGGAATAATTTTCACAAAACCTTTTCTGGAAAGGTTTCTGCAAAACCTTTTCCAGGAAAAAACAAATCACAGCTATATTCATAGCCTGGATTTTATTTAGTTCCTCTCTTTTCCAGCATGACTATAGTTCTGGCTGCTCTTAGGAAAGTTAGGAAATGAGGTAGCTTCAATATTAATGTAGTGAGCTACATTTGCAAAGGCAATCAAGAGCTTTACATGGTGTTCCGAGATACCGGAATTCAATTCACAGGATTTGCCAAAGCTCTATTTTTATTTTGTCTTCATCTGATGTTATCAAGGTTGTTCATGTTCCAAAAATGGATGAGTTTAGCAATAGTTAGCAGTTGGTAATAGGAGTCAAGAAGACCAAGGCTTTTAACACATTCAGAATGTTTAATTTCCCCTCCATCTGATGATAATAACATGTAAAAAGAAAATAACACAAAATTATGCGGATTTAAAAAAGCCTCCCACGCACCTTATGGAATTAAAATAGTGTGTGGGCCTGGAACCACGAGTATGTTCACTAAGTATGATCTCCAGAAGCATGTTATATTTGAGAAAAAAATGAAATGAAAAATTAGTGGTTGCTGTTTTATCCAAACACTTCACTTTCCTAACATTTTGCTATGCCCATTAGGTAATCGTGCCATTTATGTTTAACTAAAAATTTCCCTTGGGGTGATATCCGTAAAATTTAAATATTTGCTTATTCATCTGTGGAGTTTCTATTATTGGAACATAACATTGCAGTATGTCTTGAAGTATGTCCAAGGAAAGGTCAGGGTTTGCTGAAGTTTTCTTGTCTGAAGCTTTTTCATGCCAAAATGTGTTTAACGGTATAGTCAGCTGGGTATTTCCGTAAGGGCAGATGATTTTGGTTGTGGTATGAAGAGCTGGTTGGAAGTCTGGCTTCCCAGGCAATCTTGGCACAGAACCAAGACGTATATTATGCTTTTGCAGAGTCACAGAGCAGGCTGATGCAGAAGGCATACTGGAGACAAGGGTGGGAAATCCTGTCTGCTTCCTCATCCCAAGAGATGTGGAGAGGGGAGGAAAAAAATGGCAAACCCTTCTCTGAGATGTTTTCAGGAAGCAATGCCATGAATATATACTATAAGTGCTTTTTTTGAGCTTTATTTTTAAGCATGAGGGACAGGACTCAGAAATTATTAAAACAAGGTAAGATAGGCACAGCCTTAGTATGTTCAGGAGTACATGTGTTACTGCATTTTGTTAATAATTAGCCTTTTTTAGTTTGCCTAACAAAAATACAAGATGGCCATAGAAAACTACTCCTTCTAATGGTACTGGCAGTGCTGTAAAATGAGACCAGCCCATGTTATGTTATAATACAGCCACAGTAGTAAATAATCCCCTTCTGACTGTCGTAAGGAGTATTTTAGATTCCTGGAATTAGATTAGGTCAGAAACACTAGGAGGTGAAACTGCAAAATCTGCAGAGCAGAAAAAAAAGATGAAGCTGAGGGTGGGAGGCCTGATTTCCTACAGCCACTCATCTTAAAATGCTGCCCATAACTCAGCAGAGCAAGTACCTCACAAATTCGGAGCACTGCTTGTCTCTGCTATTCCCCGAGGCCATACATGGATGCTGAACATGCCTGTGTCGTTTGTAAATGCTCTTTATAGTGTCCCTACAGTAAATACAGCATAATATGAACACTATAAATTTGTGTCAAAATTTACTCATTTTCTTGATCAAAAGGACAACTTTGCTCGCAGTGAACCCTTTGGAAATCCAAGTTTATCTGGAAATAACATCGTAGCTGGTAGAGCCTGGAAATAGAATGGTATGTGGGGGATTTAGTAAGTATAATTTAGGATATAAGAGTCACTAAGGGGGTGCAGAATGACATAGCAAAGATGCTTGTATAAAATACAAATACAAACCAGATTTCTCACATAGTGGTGGCAGCTCGTAGTATAGATCCTTTATGATCCAGTTAGACTACAGTTATGAATTAAACTTCAAAGCAATTTAACAGTCATGTTTTTGTGCTGCGTGTAGTTTGACAGGCTTCATTCATAAACCTCATGCACTAAAGAGCATTTTACGAGGTATTATTACAGAAGCACTGAGAAATACAGTAACTGTGAGCAGGTTTTTGCTAGAAAACATTTCCTCAAGAAGACAGTCGTGCACAGCAAGCCAGAAATATGCTATTTTTAAAAGGATTTGTATTTAGAAAGCATCTCCAGGAAGAAGAGATGGAATGTTATCTTCCTTAGGTATACGCCTGTTAAGAAATTTTTATCGTGTGCAGCAATCTAATGTTAGATCATGTAAGAGGGGGTTTGCACATTCCTTTCTCATTTCTGTTAGGAAATTAAATCCTGATAAGGTTCTACATGATGTCTCTTATCACTCTGTAGAGTAGCAATTTAAAGACCAGAAACACATATGGTTTTTCATCTTTATGATCCAATTTTTGACCACTGGAGTTTGTTTCCTGCTACTGTTTTCACGAGGGCAGAAAATGCTTTGTCCAAAATCCACTTACTTCGCTGCTGGCCTTCAGTTTGAGGAATGTTCTGTTAAATCCCAAATACATGGTTGCAATATTGAGCAAAAATTGGCTTCCTGCTAATAAATTAATACAAATAGTGTTTGGTTTTCTCTCGGCTTTCTCATTAGTTCCTCATGTGAAGGGTGAATAAACTGCAGACGAGAAATGATAAGAAAACATGCTTTGCAAAATGAAGCATCAGTTACAGAGTCAAAGAATTGACTGTACTGAAAATGAAGCAACGAGAAAAGCCAATTGTGGATGTGTGAGGGCTCTGTGGTACTGCCAAGAAAGACAGGACAGGCCTGGCAGCCACCAAGGGAGAGTGTAGGGGCAACCTGGAGTGCCAGTGTCAGGTGCACCAGAGAACCTCCACAAGTATAGAGTGAGGAAGATGAAGGAGAACATCAAGGAGCAGTGGTGTAGGGGTAGACATGTGCCCTGCATCTTTATATTCCATCTCATTTTGCATCAGCGTTCCCTGATGTTACTTTTATTCTCCAAGTCCCTCAGTGAGACAGTTTTGTTACAGCTCCTGCTTTTCAACCTTTACGGTGTTATTACAAACCTAATCCATGGTTTGCTTTCTGAAAATAATGTGGAGGACATAATGGAGATGAATATTCAGTAAAGAAACTTAAATTGCTCCCTTTAAGGGTTGATCTTGAAATATAATCTGCTCTGCAAATAGATTACACTTCTGGTCATTTGGATATAAACATACTTCTATAAGAGAATTATTTGCTCTGGAAAGTGAGCAGAGGGAATTTAGAGAAGATGTACAAAAATAACTAGGAACCTCAAGGAAACAATTTATGTTTGGGCATTAAAGTAATGACAA